GGGGGGGCCCCACTGTTTTAAATTTCTTTCTGAATTTATATTATTTCATCATGCTCTTCTGTGAGAAATTTCATCAGTAAATATTTATAAAATTTAATAACTATACGGGAGAACCAGTTTTGTACTTGTCTTTAAATTTTTTAATCTTGTCAATTTTCTTTTTTATAAATGTAGACACCACAACTTCATATATCGATAGCTTTTTGACTACTAGTTTAAGTGTTTATCTATCCATATATTTGCTGGCTAGTTTAGTTAGCATGTGTGTTGTGTACTGTACGTATTTGAATTTTCGGGGTTTGAGCTCCAGCTCATGGTGCTGCCTCTGATCTTTTGACTGATCTATGCAAATTAACCATACCACATACATTTACAAGAGAATCTTTTTTTCCTCATCCTCAACTATAGAGATAGTGCCTACGAAATATTTGTATATTACTATATATAATTCATCGTCTCATGAGGCATATGTTAACTCTAAAAATAAAATCACTTGAATTTATAATAAAAAGATTAAAACAAAAGTTACTGCCAAAATAACGAATCTCTTTCACCTTCATAAGTACCGATTTTAAAATCATGTATATTATCTGGAAATTCCATAAAGGCAAATAACCCTTTACCTAAAAATAAGATTTTCAATCCTGATACAGTCATGTCTTAATTCAACTGAAAAATGACAAGCTTGAAAACTTACATTCATCCTAATTATTACACAGTAAATGCAAATGTACTGGGAGAAACATACTGCTGGTTGCACAGTTCACTGACATGGACAAAGCTCCCACTATGATGTCACTGCTTCTCAGGGTCATGTCCTACACTAATTTAAGGAAGAGGTTACATAACCGAGGTTCAAATGCAAAATTCATATTTGTTTTAATTTCTCTCTTATTCTATTTATAATAGGATACAGTAAGCATGAAACTCTCTCTCAGTAGATGTACTTTTAAATATTACTGTTTTATGCCTTTTTTGTTTACTCTGATAAAATACACATATTAAGCTGTGTAAACCTCTTTCAAAAGATGCTTGTCACTACATACAGGAAATTCCAGTTAGACATGAACAATTTAAAATGACCAGCTCTAAGTCATTTCATATTCTTCAATATTTAAAGAGTTTAACATAAAAAATATACAATATAGGCACATACTGAATACTGTCCAGTTTCAGTTATACACTCTTTGTATCAAGCATCAAATTACTTTTACCAATTAATACACTTAATGTATTTTATGGTACCTATTAATGATTGCATTGTACAAGAAATATCTAACACACACCACTGACATATTAAATACTAAATTATCTGCAGTAATATCTTGTAAACACACTAAAGGGAAGCACTTGGGTAAATTTCTTCCAGAAATTACATACAACTAAATTTCGTATATTTTCTTAAAAGTACTCAATAAAATATCAATGGCACTAACAAATTCTGTAATATATTCTCTGTTAACAGTTTAAACAATTAAAAAATATGCACTACAGTCTCTGAAGAAAAGTTAAAGGAAAAATTAATGAGCCACTTTTCTCAGCTTCAGAGAAGTACTGAGAACTGACTTAAAAACAGCCTTCTAAATTAACACTTCTGCAAGAGGAAGAACTTGAAGACAATATCAGCTTTGAGAAAAAGCTGCGAGAATGAATTTAGAAAAAAGACTGGGAAGCAGAACCCTCTGTTACAGAGGGAAGCAGATACTCACTAGAATCTAATGGAGGCTAGTCATGAAGCTAGACTTTCAGGTAAATAACTCTTGTATCAGGAGACTTCTCACTCTCTCAAGTAAAAGTTTTACATACCTGCACAGCACATCTTTACAAGAGATTTGAGACGAAGATTTTACATGGTAATGCACCCTCTGGAATGGGTAAATTCTAGTGCCAAACAAGTCAACACCTGCAGTTATACAGTTATGCTGTTCATCAACTGTGCCAATACAGAGTAGATTTTGTGTAAATTAAAAAATTACCCCATCCCCCCACTGAAAGAAGTTTTCAAGAGTAGAACAACACGGGGAATGAAGGAACAGAATGTATAATAACTTATTTACCTTATTTTCTGTTTACCTCAGAAGGAAAACTAAGAATAAAGCCCTCAAAAATGAATAAAAGCATGATGATTTAGGCTAACCAGATAATTAAGAGTAAATCAAACACCAAAAGTAATATATTGCCTCCGTTACATGATTTTTTACCTTGCTATAGTATTCACTCATTGGCTGAAGGAGTGGGAGGATGGGACAATGAAATTCCACATTAGTGAGCATCAACTACCAATGACTTGTGTTAATCACAATAATGCAATTATAAACAACTCAGAAAATTGGCCTGCACAAACTAAGGGTGAGAGCACTTTCCTCCCAGTTTTAGGACTGGTTTACCATGAGTTCAAACCCTGCCTATTCTCTGAATCAATTACCAGATTACCACTTCCCTCAACATTCACTGCCCCATCCACACATTATAGAATT